CTCCTCCACCTCCTCCACCTCCTCCACCTCCACAGCCACCTCCTCCACCTCCTTCATCTCTTTCACCTCCACAGCCACCTCCACCATCAAAGGTGGAGGTGGGACGCTGGCTGCCTGGACAGTGTCTGTGGTCACTGCTGGTGTCGGTGCACACCTCCCCCTCCTCTTTTCTCCTCTTTTCTCCTCTTTTCTCCTCTTTTCTCCTCTTTTCTCCTCTCTGTCTGCCATGGCGTTCTCTCTCCAGCTCACGCTGACTTTGCCTCCAGCTCTCTGTGCTCCTCCACCCCTCAGCTTGTTTTCCTCCCCCCCCCCCCCTTCCCTCTTTTTTTTTGGGCGTTTGTTTTTCTGGCCTCCACAGCTCCATCCATGAAGCGCCTCCTCCTGTTTTCCCCCTTCCCCTCTCTGAAAAACGCCTGCTGCTCATCCCGAGCAGCCTCAGCTCTGCGAATCCAATGTCCCTCTTTTAAAGAACTGCCCCCATGTTTGTCTTCAGACGGCTGAGTGAAGAAGATGAGCAGCTGGAGAATCATTAGCAGGAACATGAGAGCTTTTCTGGGACGCTCACGCCGACTGTGAGACAGCGCAGGTTGAGCCGCTCGCTGGATAAAACTAATAAGATCCAGAGAAAAAGGCTTCACTTTCATTGGTTTGGCACAGACGAAAGACGCCGTTTCCCTTTTTAAATTGTCATTTTTATTCACATCAGCTGGAATGAGATGAATACCGAGATATTTATCCCATTAGACCACAATCAGTTTCTAACACTCAGAAATGTCATGAGAAGTTCAAATTTAAGGAAAGAAAAGCAGCCAAAAGCAGCTCGGTTTGGGCTTGTTTGTTTTTTTTGCGTGTAGATGTTGTCTCATTAAAGTTTTCATCTGATTTCTAAGAAGAATTTGGATATGTTTCATTCGTCAGTTTGATGTGTTGTCGGTTCGTTTCATCCCAGGCTGCTGGTTGGTAACTCATCGTCTCTGTTTCCTCCATCTCCATCGCTCTGGCTCTGCTTTGGGCTGAAAGGCGGGCGGGAGCAGCATAGAGGGGGGGCAGGGCATTTTCCTCCCCATCCAGCAAAATATGACACAATCATCTTATTTGGGAGTTACAAATAAAGTCCGAATGATTTTCTTTTTGTTTTAATAAGAAATCCTGATCCAAGTTTATTCCTTTTTCTCCTCTGACTGACCAGACTGGGGTTGGGGCTCCGAGCCCCCCACCAGGAGTCAGCAGGAGTCTCACCTGACTGGTCGCTGCCTTTGCTTTGCAATGTGCATGAAAACAGCCGGTTTCTCTGTGTCAGTGCAGAGAAAGCCGCTGGACTTTGGCCTCTGGTCAGGCTGAGAGACGGATGAGAGGAAAAAAATTTGAACCAGAGCAGCTTCATTTGGAATGTCCCTGTTTTTAATTTACCATTTTCCTCAGCGATGCAGCACGATGTTCATCTGGAGGATGCACAAAGCACTCGATCTCCTCCAAACCTGAATCATCAGGACGCGAGTTAGATTCGGAGAGTTTTAAATTCTTTTTACAACTCTGTTTTTCTTCTTTGTTGCAAAACCAGAAAAGTGGTAGTGGGAAGTAACTTAAAGTATCACTGATGGTTTAAACAAGCTCAGCTGGACGCAACAATTTAGTAAACCAGCTATGAAGCTGGAAACCCCCCCAGATCCTTTGGGATTGGACCAGCGGAGCCCAGTGGGGGTCTGGATTGGGCCCGTGTCTCCACGCCTGACACTCAGACTCACAAGGTCAGAAGCTGCCCTCTGGCCGGCTGACATGGGGGCTCCCGGGACCAGGAGCTGTCCAGCCTGCACCGTCATGCCTTTTATTTTCAGAGGAGTTCGATACTGGGGGGGTTTGGGGGGTGGGGGGTGCTGATGTGGCACACAGAGAGAACAGAGGGCGGCAGCATGAAAACAGGCCAACCTGAGAGGCACCAGAGAAGGAACGTCCCCAAATAAAAGCAGGAGACAGCATCAGAGGGAATGAAAGGTGTTCCTCAGGGTGGGGGGCATGGACCCCTCAGGTTCTGCCCCGTCAGACCTCTCTGTGGCCATCGGTCCCTTGGTTGTCCGGATAAAACGACAGAACCGGCTCCAGTTTCCAGCTGGAGGACCTCGGATTTCATCCCAGAAGCCAGTTATTGATGCATGTCAACAAAAAAATAAATAAAAACATTGAAAAAACATGTTGGATTGAGTTTGACAGAGCTGGAATCGCCCCCGATGGCAACTTTAACCCCCCCCCCCCAGCCCACCCACTGTCCAACCCATCTGGGAGAGGCAAACAGTGATGAGTGGGTTTCATTTAGAGCCCCATCGATCGGCGGGGCTAATTATGCCCATTCGTTAAGCCGCTTCAGTCTGAGGAGGAGAGCCGCTGATATCTGGAAATATTTGTGGGCTGCTTATCTCGAGTCTCGCAAACAGTCGTCACATTTAAGCTGTTTGTTGCATTAAACTAATTTCTTACACTAAACAACATTCTAATCGTTGAGACTTAATTATTCATGACTTAATTATTTTTCCTCCAAATGCTAAACAACTGTTCTTTGCTGCTTGAAAAGATGTTCAGGAATATAAATATAAAAATTATACAATTCCATAATGTTTCAATTCTAACATATTATTATATGAATATATCTCGGACGTGCTGATTCAGCTGCTGACTCACAGGTTAAATCCCAAATAAACATCTAAAGATTGTTACTTAAAGAAAAAGTTATCAAACACACTTGATGGATCCGCGTCACAGGAAGAGAAGAGCTTGGGTAACCGTCTTTATCTTCCCGTCACAATAGAGAAGTTTGCTCTGAGAAGAGATTGAAAGCGCCCTCCTTGGTCGCCATGGTTTCCGTAGTGAGC